TGGCAGGACGTAAATACCGAGAGTCTTCAGTCAAAGTTAATACGAGGGTGACTGTGTTGTTTGTTGACGGGCGGAGTGTATTTCCATCTGGCTGACTGCTGTGGTGTTCATTTCCATCTGGCTGGCTGCTGCGGTGTTCATTTCCATCTGGCTGGCTGCTGCGGTGTTCATTTCCATCTGGCTGGCTGCTGCGGTGTTCATTTCCATCTGGCTGGCTGCTGCGGTGTGTATTCACATCTGGCTGGCTGCTGTGGTGTGTATTCACATCTGGCTGGCTGCTGCGGTGTGTATTCACATCTGGCTGGCTGCTGTGGTGTGTATTTCCATCTGGCTGGCTGCTGTGGTGTTCATTCCCATCTGGCTGGCTGCTGCGGTGTACATTTCCATCTGGTTGGCTGCTGTGGTGTGTATTCACATCTGGCTGGCTGCTGTGGTGTTCATTTCCATCTGGCTGGCTGCTGCGGTGTGCATTCCCATCTGGCTGGCTGCTGCGGTGTACATTTCCATCTGCCTGGCTGCTGTGGTGTTCATTCCCATCTGGCTGGCTGCTGCGGTATTCATAAAGCTGTAGTTAGTCGTGGTGGCTCTCGTCTTGTTAGTGTGTTTGCTATGGTAGAGACTGTAAGCTGTTGATGATGTTGGTAAGAATTACTGTTAGATATGGTTGATAGTGGTGGCTTTGGTGATGGTGGAAGGCGTTGCCCTATTAGTGATGGAATAAGCGGTAGAAGTTGTTTCAGTGAAAGACACAAACGGGTCATCTGCAGGGATTCAAATGCAATTATATGGCGGATAGAAATCGTTTCTGTGAGTGTTTAGCGCGGGATGGAAAAATTAGGCAAATACCTATTAAATTTAATTGTAATTAATTTTCATTTTGCATTGTCCGGAAGTTTACAGACTTGAAGGTTTACAAACTTGAGGGGTTAACAGTTTACATGCGAAAAGATACAATGAGAACGTTCATGGAGAGGAAGGGGTAAATAATAGTTAAGTACAGTTATGTACATTACCATTATTTCGGTGTTACTGTACAGGAAGTACAACGTAGTAAGGAAAGTCGTGGTTTTTAGTAGCTAGAAAAGGAACGGAACGTGAAAACCTTATAATTAGACCTTCTTGGATGAGTTACGGATGTGTCCTGAGACCAGAGGCCATGTGAGGGATGACTAGGTGCTGGGCAAAAGGGCTGTGAAAGGAGGTGTGATTGCTAGGATCAAGCGTAGATATTCTTGCACACATGGAACTGACAAGATTTGTCTCCTCTCGGTATGTACTTTTGTGTGGCATGATTACGGAGAAGGTGAAATTAAATGGTAGGGTTAGAAAACTCTTGGTTAAGTTTATTTTCCAAACGACCAGGGGTAAGAATTGATGCTGCCGGAGTGCGTGTTAAGAGACAGTGTTCACGGATACATAAATGTGTTTTTTTTTTTTGGGGGGGGAGCGTTGATGGCGGAGTTGTGCGCTGGTTAAATGCGTTGATGTATGCCTGGCGCATGTCATGGATGGGTGGGAGAGTTGATGGTTGGTGTTCATGTTGGTTATATGCAGTTTGGTATGCCTGGTGAATGACCTGGATGAGGTGGCAGCGTTGATGATGTGCTATGCCATGATGTGTTGATGTATGCCCGGGCTTATCCCCTTAATCTAACTCCCCCCTTCCCCCTCCCCAGCCCGTACTCTCGCGCTACCACAACGGATTTTAAATGATGTTCTAAAACGCGCGAACTTAACCTAACCGACCTAAACTTATACCAACCCACCCATTAAAAACGTGATTTATTGATCCGCAGTGATTTATAGCACCACGTTATTTACCCGTTGGGGATTTTGACATCAATTTTTGATGTGTTATTTGAGAGACGGATTGTTCTCACCGCCCATCCATCATATTCCCTACTTCTCTCTCCAGTCTACGAGGAAGTTCAGCAAGGAGATAAAAGACATAATAACCAAAACCAAAACTAAAAACCTTGTCTACTAACGCTGATGCTATATCCAGTAAATATAATGAACTCAGGGAATTGAGACAGACCGTGATGTAACAGTTGTGACGGGGACGAAAATTACAGAAACGATTATTGATGCATTGTTTCCCAGAGACTACCAGATCATAAGAAAAAATAACGGTGAACGGATGAATGAAGATGGGGTGTGTACCGACTGAATACGTGGGAAGTTTAATCTAAGGAAGTAAGTCAACGAAACAAATGGATTTAATGTACCCCGTCACTGCTGTAACATCACGGTCTGTCTCAATTTCTTGAGTTCATTATATTTACTGGATATAACGTAAGCGTTAGTACACAAGGTTTTTAGTTTTTAGTCCAATAATCATCGGCATCATGCGAGAAGAGGCAGCGGTTGTGTACATCCCAACAGTGAATACCTAAAAACCCGTCTAGAAAATATAAGAAGGAAACATTTGGAAAAAGACTTGGGGAAAATACGGGCTCGGAAATTGGGTTGTTGAATTATGCAACAAATTACCTGTGTAACATCAAGGAATTGATGTTACACTTCAATGAGTTTCATTGAAGTTTCAATTTTAATGAGTTTGGGTGACTATAAAAGTTGAAATATTTGACCTCATATGGCCAAATAAGCCATCTGCGGTTTCCTTTATTCATGAGTTTTTCTTAATATGAAGAGAGCAACGTGTATTAAAAATATCATTGTACAGACAGCAGTTGCTCTCAGTTTTGGCATCGAGTTTGGTCCACAAATAGAAAATCTTACCTGACTAACCTGCTAGAATTCCACGACAAATTGTCAATGACCACGATGGATAAAGAGGATGAGCCTGGTTGCGCGTTCCTTGACTGCCAGAAAGCCTTCGACACGGCTTTGAAATGGAGGCTCATAATATACGCGAGAATCAAGTGGGATTAACTTTTAGACGTTTAACGTGTGTATTGAACTGGATGACGACAAACTTATATAAGACAAAGGGTAATACTGAGAGGGAAAATCATTATGTTTTTGGATTAATATGCAATTACATAAATTAATGCTAGGAGGATCCACACTCTCTATAATATAAATCAATGAATTAAACAAAAAAGTAGGATTGTACCAGCACATGTTTATAGATGATCGAAACCCGATAAAAAAACGAACAGTATTTTTTACAATCAAGAACAGTCAAACGAGAAAAAAAACCCTGCAAACTGCCCCCTTGAAGATTCGGACAAATAATAGAGTTGGTCTCATAAACGGCTTCTTGAATTAATTCCCAGATACTGATCTTAGGGGCGGGGAAGGGGGGGCTACCATGACGATGCATGACGGAGTTAAGACACCTGCTTGTGCAAGAAAACAAAAGACAACAAAAGACCAGTAAACATATTATTCTATAACACTGGAGGTCCCTGTAAACAGGCTCAACGATGCGCTTTGGCCTGCTCTGGGGAACGACGCCCGCCACTGCCCCCCAAATGAGAAGGCAGGAGGCAAACCGGGAGTCCCCCCACCCCCCTAATATTTGACAAAGCTGACAAACAATTTTATAGCTTTTATGAGCCGGGACAACGAAGTCTTCAGGACGTCTAAACTACCTATATTAGACCAGTACTGTAATATATAGCCCCAGTGAACAGTTTACTTGTATAAACCTCACTATTCTGGCCAAATAGATGGAACTTAGGCAACATGATCATAAGTATGTAAATCAGAGGTGCTCGCCTGATTGAAGTAGACGTAGTTGAAGCCAACTCCATACGTCGCTTCAATAATACGAAGCAAAAGAGGAGAGAAGCCTCTTAAGGTCTTCGTCGACTGCAAAATGGGATTAAGGAGTTGGTACTCACCCATTAGGCACATTTACATGTGTGTACTCACATATAACAAATACGGCAGGTACAAAATGGTGAATACACACACACACACACACACACACACACACACACACACACACACACACACACACACACACACACACACACACACACACACACACACACACACACACACACACACAAACACAACACAAATTGCAACAGTTGTGTGATCACTAAACCCATTCTTCAAACAGTTTCTAAGACAATCCTTGTAATTTTCCGAGCCAGAGAGAAATTTCCTACTCTTCCCGGTACTCATTTGTGATTACTCTGACGCAGATTGGTTATGCTCACTGGTCATGAGATCCACTCACTATCTCCTTGTGAGTTCCCCGGGACGTGACGTCTGAGGCGTCATGCGTCTCTGAACATTGGCGTTTCAACGTGCGTTGGTCGTAGATTTTCCAGGACGACTACTGGATTCGACGCATGCCGCGCTATTTAAAATGTCGACGCACTACTCGAATGTGTGCTTCTGATCACTGGTGCGGTGCCTGAATATGCGATCCTGAATACAGACGCACTCTTTTGTCAATGTTATCCTCTGAATTTTCTGAATTCTGACGGTGTGTCATGTACCTCAAACAATAGCCTTCTGTTACCCACTCTACCCATGCGTTCTAACAAGCACTCTCTGGCAATGCGTCACGACAAGCACTCAGTGGGCATCAGTCGCAAAAAACAATCAATTGGTAATGCGTCCCAGCACGCAGTCTCTGGAAATGCGTCCCAGCAAGGACTCTCTGGAAATGCGTCCCAGCAAGCACTCTCTGGAAATGCGTCACGACACCAAACCACATTTACGTCACACAAAGCAAAAAAACTAAGTATATATATATATGTATTATAAATAATTAATATAAATTAATGCACGAGTAGTTTCTTGACGTGAGAGAAGTCGTTGATAACATATAAGAGGTCACAGCGGACAAATAAGAGGTCACAGGGCGGAGGCAATATGCGTGTGAGAGTGACTGGTCTTAGATAATTTACGTGTGTGTGTGTGTGTGTGTACGTCTAGGAGATGGTATGCGTGTGTGTGTACGTCTGGGAGGAGATGATATGCGTGTGTATACGTCTGAGAGGAGATATTGTGCATGAATGTGGAGTTTTGCCGGATATAATTTACGAGTGTTTACGTCTGGGCGGAGATAATATGCGTGTGTTTACATAGGGGCTGAAATAATGCGTGCAAGTCTGATCCTACCAGCATTATAGGTGATTATAGCGCCAGGCACAGGACTGGCTGGAGATATAATCATAGGAGTATGTGTCGTAGCTCAGTAATCATGACGATAACGAACTGTTGTCGCTGTTAGGTACTCAAGATGATATGCGCAGATGACGTCGAATCGACGCATATTTGAGCAGGTATGCTGCTTGATCTATGTCTCAGGTTCTGTGTCTACCCACGCCGTTTGTGCCACGTTAATTGTTACAGATATGTCGTCTGATCAGCGCTCCATATTAGCCCATGTAAGCATCGGAAACTTTATCCTTTCACGACGGAATGTTCTAATGAACGAGGCTGACTATGCCCATCGATCCACTGAACAAATTTTATTACTAATGTGTCAAAATAGTACAATTTCTTCTCCTATCCTACCGTATCTTTTCGTGATAGGATGCGTGGCACCTATCCACCTCCTGCGAACCAGCTCCATACTCTTACAACCTAACCCAACCCTCTGCCAACATGCTCCCATCCTTTTCAGCTTCCCTCATAACCACCCCAACCTCCCTAACATACCTCATAACCTCAGCAGCGCCTCTAATTTTTTATTTTACCCCCCCCCTGTGAGGAGGGAGCGACTGGGGCCATAAACGAGACGGCTCGTATTAATTCAGTCATAAGCCGGAGTTTTACCGGCGTCTCCACCCTGCTGGCTTCAATGGGGTTATTTGACTGGATGGGATAATGTAGGGAGGGGTGGGTCTCCCCGATGGCCTGTTAACCACGGTGATTCCTTCCTCTTACAGCCTCACTGAAATAAGATGAATATGGCCTTGAGAATTTATAAGATTTTTTTTTTTAATCTTTACATATATCTTTTCTCTCTCTCTCTCTCTCTCTCTCTCTCTCTCTCTCTCTCTCTCTCTCTCTCTCTCTCTCTCTCTCTCTCTCTCTCTCTCTCTCTCTCTCTCTCTCTCTCTCTCTCTCTCTCTCTCTCTCTCTCTCTCTCTCTCTCTCTCTCTCTCTCTCTCTCTCTCTCTCTCTCTCTCTCTCTCTCTCTCTCTCTCTCTCTCTCTCTCTCTCTCTCTCTCTCTCTCTCTCTCTCTCTCTCTCTCTCTCTCTCTCTCTCTCTCTCTCTCTCTCTCTCTCTCTATATATATATATATATATATATATATATATATATATATATATATATATATGTATATATATATATATATATATATATATATATATATATATATATATATATATATATATATATATATATATAT